AAACCTTTCTCTGTCTATGTGCAGCATGGTGATAATGACCTTGTCTGGTGTCCCTAATCAAGAAAATTCTCTTGTAGAAATACCAGATCTAACAGAGAAGTATAACTATATGGCTATACTGTGATAGAAAAACCCTGTGACACTGAGTTTCAGAGCCCAGGTCAGCTGACTCAGGCTCATGAGGCTTGGGCTGCAGGGCTATAAAATTGCAGTGTGTAGATGTTTGTGCCCAGGCTAGAGGCCAGACTCAGACATTCCACTCCTTTCATAGGGTCTCAGAGTCCAGGCTCCCTCCCTAGCCTGAATGTCTACCCTGCAATTCTGTAGCCCCGGAGTCCAAGCCCGGCAAGCCCTAGTCACCTGATCCAGGCCGGCCGTGGCTGTGCCGCAGGTCTTTTACTGCAGTGTAGATCTATAGGGCTAGATTTTCAAAGGGGCTTCAGCCTGGCTTCTGTGCATGGACAATGTTGCATGCAGACCCCTGCATGTATACTTCTGAGCATTAATGGCTTGACCCAAATTCCACTGAAGTCAACAGAAAGATTCTGGATCAGGTCCTTACACCTAAATGGGCTATTGATAGTCTGTAATACCTGCCTATGCAACTATGAAAATTAGTTGCTCAAAAGCTTTGTGTGCAGGTGTTTGTGGATACACAAAGTTGTTTTTGCACAAGCAAAGGCCGCATTTTGTATTTTTTTATCCTTAAATTCTGTCCAGATTGTTGTCCTGTCTGGCTAAGTTACACTGCTTTATACTTTCATTCTGGGGAACAAAACCCATGTGAAAAACAATTGGCCAAATTCTGTGGACTTTACTTGACTTCTCTCGGTGTTTTTTCTTAAGGACTGAAGAATTTTACCCAGCATTCTAGGGGAAACATTTCTTTTAGGGTCTCAGCTACTTTTACTTAATGGCCACTGTTAAATTTGGTGTTAAAGGCCATGAATCTTTAGATATATGTATGGTGGGTTGAGCAGTCTTGTTTAGATGACAAATCTCAGGCTGAGATTGATTATATACAATTCATGTAACCACCTGGCTGAAGGGTGACTAACCCTAAGGGTGAGTTAGTGTTTTTGGGTCATTGAGACAATGTACTTGAGAAAGGGTAAAAGTCTACCTGTTGAGGACTCAAGCGCCAAGACGTAGTTGTGTTTGAGATGAAGCTCTGACGATGTGTGGCCCACCTCATGCATTCTCCATCTGATAGATCACATCTGAAAGTGACTTTTCCTCATTGACTACAGTGTTTAATTTTTCTCTTCCTCTGCTATTATTTTTTCATTTTGATGGTTCTCATCTAACTCTGAAACATTTTGGAATAAATATTATATATACAGATGCATCTTCTCCCACTGATTTCAATGGAAGCAGGATTGTTTATTTTTCCTACCCCCTTAGTGTCCATTTATTCACTGGAACGAGGGAACAAAAAAGAGATAGGGAGTTGCTGGCGCTATGTGGAAAACATATGGCTTTCACTGACTTTAGTAGCTTTGTAACTGGAACTTAATATTCTTGGGGGCTGCTGGATAGTCCTTTCAGGTTGTCTTTCTAGTTTTTTTATCCGACAGTATAAAGTATTTTTATACTGTATTTTATTGAAAATTTAATATAATAGTATTATATTAGTAGAAAATAGTATTTTTTGAAAGAACTGTTTGTCAATAGCGAAGTCTATTTTGCATGAATACCTAAGTCATTCTTAGAAGTAGCTGAGGCATAAAGGTTAAATACATGCAAGTAAACACAACATTACATGGTGCCAGTATTACAGAACTCCTATATTCTTAACAGCTTTACTTTCCAGGGCCTTCTGCACAGGGTCTTCAGTCATCCAAACGGTTCCCTATGTTGATTTTAAATTACAAATCTCTAACTCAAGCCTCCAAGGTGATGTTGATCCATTCTCCTAGCTAATGAAAAAATGAATCCAAGAATAAGTTTTGTGATTGCAATAATCGCAGACATGACTTCTGGTTGGAATTAGTGTGCCCCTGGGGCTCTATTTATTAAAGGTTGTAAGGAGGCAACTTAGGAAGCTGGAGGAGCCCACTCCTGAAGTAATAGATGTGCATACACTACAGCATTAAAGGTGTTGGTCCAGCTGGGGAAAATAAAAAATAAATGTGTACCAATACAAAGCTGGCTCTACACGTATATTTCCTGTTATGATGCAGGAACTGATGAAGAGGTTTACCTCCTTTCACTTTTAGGCACAGACTCTCAAAATCTCAAGTTTATTGGCATGCCTTATAGGAAAAAATTACCATCTGCTAAAGAATTCATTTTTCTCCTAAGTATTGTGATTTACAATTTCTCAGCAACAAGATGGCTCTGAGCATACATTATAGTTTTATTTCACTAAACTATGATTTCTCACTCAAATGCTCAATCGAGGATTGTGCTTAGGGTTGAATAAACCTATAAATCTGAGGAAGTGATGTCACTGCATGATGCTTAAGCTGTTGCTAGACTACAATAGCACAGATAGGATGTCATATGTCTCAACAAAAGCAAAAATTCTATGGCCCTGATTCCGCTCTGACTTGCACTGTTTTTATACAAACTCCACTGACTTCAGAGGGATGATTCCTGACTTTAAACCATTGTTAGATCACTATCAGGCCTTCTGTAGCTCACCAAACCTGGAGATCATTTAAAAATTCTGAAATGAGTTTTAAATAAAGAATTAGAACTTGAATATTTGAATGGTTTATTTACCAGCACAAGTTATATGCAGAGGTATATATCTGCTATGCTGTAGCCAAATTTACTATGAGCACACAAGATGTAACTCCACTGACTTGAAAAGCGTTGTGCCTTCTTAAATCAATATTTAGTTTGGTTCATGTGGAACACAGTGTTAAATTTTAGCCCCCACCTGGCCTTGTTTTGTGTTTCAGATGCTTTGCAAATATTGGGTCAAATGCTACTCAGTTACAGTGCATGTAACTCTATTGACTTCAGTGTAGTTACTCCAGGATCACAGCAGTGCAGTGGAAAGCAAAATTTGGCCCATTAGTCACAATCTTCAAGCCCTTCAAGTTCATTCCAGTAGTCCTGCTGAAGTTAGTGGGACCGCTCATGGGAATGAGGACTGCAGATCCAGCCCCATTATCCTTAAAACAGCCTGTGAAATAGGCAAGTGTCACCCCAATTATATACAGAGGGAAACTCAGACATAAAGGTTTTAACTTGCTCTCAAAGGCAAAGAGCGAGTCAGTGCTTGGGATTACAAATAATATTTATCTCTCACATTGTATTTCTTGTTCATAGACCCAAAATGCTCTTCAAAACTGGGTATTGTTAAGTATTAGTCATAGTTTATAGATGAGTGAACTCAGGCACAGAAAAACGAAGGGCCAGATTGTGTCTGCAGCTCAGGGCTTGCCCAAGGGAGGAGTCTTCCAGAGCACCACCTGGGGGTGATATGACTGCATCACTCTCAATGCAGGGCTGTGTCTAAAGGGCACCACATGAATAGAATGTATAGAAACCAGGTCTACTGACTTCTCAGTCACTTGCCTTCCAATTAGTTTAGAACTCAGGAGATTCTTGATTCTCAGCCATGGGCTCAAAGCACTAGACCAAGTAAATCTTTAATCGAGAAATAAATCATTAGTACTCTGTCAAAAGTTGTTATATGACAATTCTTTTCTATTACTGAAAGTCATACTTGTATCCATGCAACATTGCAGAGTCTGGTACTTGTATTTTATTGACTTTATGTTCTGTTACATATGTTGTAATGTAATGGCAGCTGGGAGACAGAACTCGGCACACGTGGGTTTTCCTGATTCTGCCACTGACTCAGTTGACCTTTTACCTCTCTATGCCTCAGCTTTCCCATCTGTAAAATGGTGTTTTTAAAGAACTTAATGATGTTTTTAAAGAGCATTGAGAGCAATAGAAGATGGGTTGCATATGCTGTTATTGGGCCCAATTCTGTCACTCACTATTCATGTTGTATATTGTCCTAGCCCTGGAGGAGTCCTATTCAGGCTTCATTTAGTGCAGCAATACTTACAATTTTCACTCTAAAAACCAGCCAGGCAGCCAACCAACCAACCAACACCCCTGGAACACGTCTCAATTTTTTAAAAAGTAAGAGTTGAAGTCTGCTTGACTATTTTGTTTGTGCCTTATGTTTAATATACATATTATTCAATGCCAATAAAAATTACTCATATGCTTCAGGTGAAGAAATGCTCCAAGGCTGCAGAAATGTGAGTGCCTTTGTAGAGGGGTAGTTACCCCGCTCCTAAAATAGAAGGGGTTAAAAGCAGCCCTGGAGAGGGCTGTGGCTGGGGATGGCTGACTGGGGAAGCAGCTGCAGCTGGGGCACGCCCCAGTCAGGCCCCAGCTGGCCTGTATAAAAAGGCTGTGAGCCAGAGGCCCAAGGAGTTTCTTTCTAGGTTGGGAGAGAGCAGGGCTTCACTGACAGTGTACTGTGGGGGTGGTGCAGTGCTGTGCTGTGCTGGGGAAGGAGCAGGCTGAGCAGGGGCGCTCCAGGCTGGCAACTCCCCAAGCTGTAAGGCCTGATCCAAGGCCCATAGAGGTACTGGAAGGCAGCAGGTCCAAATCCCCTTGTCTATGATGAGTGGCATTTACACTGCAGTCTGCCCCAGTGAGCGGGGGCTTGGTGATGACTGGCAGTAGCCCAGACTGAGGCAAGGTTGGGATAATGGGTTGAGGGTTCCCCAAGAAGGGGAGACCCAGAGGCAGAGTGTGGGGGTATGGCCAGGGAGCAGAACCCCAGAGAAAGGGGCACTGGGGTCTGTGAGGGACACGGGGGGCCAGCGCTGAGCAGATCACCGGCCTGCAGAAGGTGCTCCAGGCTGGAAAAGAGCTAATTCCCAAATACCAGCAGGAGGCACTACAGGGGTGAGTCCGAACCTTTACAGCCTTGAATACAAATGCTATATTCCCTAAAACCTCCAGTAAAACAATTTGGCTTTTGCTCATGGTTGAGAGAATGCTTTTTATTTTAACAGGGTACATGACCATGAAGTCTCCTGCTATAGAGTCAGATTGACTCTGCTGGCTACGCGCAACTGTAAATTGGCTGGAAGAATACTTTTTATGGGTAAGTTTTGCCTACCTGCTTTCAGATGTCACCACTGCGTGGCCCCCCCCCCCCCCATCGGTTCATATTAAAGATAAGTTGCACTCAGATGTGTAAAGATGTTTTCAGTTTTTTAATAGAATATGGTGTTGCATAGAGTCACAAGCCACAGTTGCACAATTGATATTTTAAAAGGTTGTTTATATTGGGTTTAACTTTCAGAAGATACATACAACACTAATTCCACTGAGCATTATACTATACATTACTATCCATTGCTTTCAAAGCTCTTTACAAATATGGAGTGTGAGGCCCTACATCCTAAAGATGAGGAAAGCTGAGGCACACAGACGTGACTTATGCAGGGTCACAGTATGAGTCACTGGCTGAACTGGAAACCGAATCCATGGGTCCTGAGTCCTGTGTCCCAGCCAAAGAAGTACAACTACATTTACATTGCAGCAGAACATAAAATCAAGTAAATACAGTTATCAGACCCAGCATCATTGCACTACTACAGCTATGATTTTCTGTAATAGGAAAAGAATATAATGTTGACATGAGAGGAAGTTACTCCTATCCTGATAGGAAGCTACGGGTGCAAATGCTAGTTAGAATTCTTTAAGTCTTTAATGACCGTGCATTTAAATGGTCTTTGCATAGCTTACTGAACATGTTTCCCCTTCTTGTACTTTGTTTTATTTGTTTCTGTAATTTTTATTGCTTTTCTTTATTTTTACTCATCCTAAATCCTTATGGCTGTATCTCTAAAAGCAGAAGCACTGTGACACAAATATATCTAATGTTTACTACCAAGATGATGACTTCCCTAGTATAAGGGGACTGTTCCCCACTGAATGTTAGTAAGGGGCGTGTTTTAGGTGCTAGCTCCCAGTACTAAAAGGGGGAAGGGTCAATGGGGAATCAGAACCCTGAGACTGCCAGTCCCTAGGAGCAATGGGGAGAGGCCAATGCTCCAGGTCAGCCTGAATGACAGGGCGGGCAGGCTAATCAGGGAGTCAGGAGGCCAGGGAGGTCCTGTCCTTTGTGTGAGCTGGAATTGTCTGGGTCAGACAGAGTGGGGCTGAGCTAAGGACAGAGCAGGGGGCCCAAGCTGAGCTGGGGAGCAGAGCTGGGCCAGATCCAGAGGGACCAGAAAAGCAGTCCAGAGAGAGCAGACCCTGTCCTGGGAGCAGAGCTGCAACCCCAAAGCCAGAGGCACAGCCCAGAGACAGCAGACTTGCCCTGGGAGCAGAGCTGCAGCAACCAGAGCCAGAGGGGCCAGAGAAGCAGCCCAGGGAGCTGGAGGCAGAGCAGCAGCCGTGCTGAGGCAGAGTGGGGGCTGGGGTTGGAGCAGTACGGGGCTGGGTGTCATGAGCAGCTGGGGAGAGCAAGGGGGGACCCTGGGCAGTGGGCCCAGCACAGGGAGATGCCTCAGCCAGGAGGCTCTGCAGGCCAGACTCAGAGGGGGATTGGTAACCCTGACAGGGCGCGGGGTGACACTGGGAAGAAGGGCCCTGCCACCTAGAGCCTGAGAGTGTGTGGCCATCACCAGAGTGAGTGTCCACCCCACAGCATCCCTGCAGCACAGCCAGGGCCTGAGAAGGCAGCCTGGGACTTACAAGGAACAGACTGAACTTCCCTGACATTCCAGAGACATGTGATGTGTTTTCTTTAACCTTTCCCATTTTTCCTTACTCTTTTTTTAAAAAAATTAATTGTTGATTAAATAACTTGCATTTCCTTTAAATTGTATGTTATGATCAGTGGGTCAGAGAAGTGCTCAGTGCAGAGAGTACCCCGGAGTGGGGACACCCTAGCCCCTGTCCTACGTGACCACTGTAAGGTTGGGGGTTGAGCCCCCCAGGAATCCTGGGCCCAGCCTTGTTGGGGTTACGAGGACTTTGCCAGACAGGAGAGTGGAAGGGGAGCCCTCAAGGGCAGGGAGGCCACTGGGTAAAGGAAGTGGGAGCGAGGACTCTGATCCTTTCACCAGCCTACTTCACCGGGGTAGTGCAGAAGCCAGGAAAGTTCCCCACAATAGTGGGACTATTCCCCCCGCTTACACTAGCAACAATAAGCATGTGGTGTTTTTTAAACTTGTTTTTGGACTGTTTGTTGTTTTTGTTTGAACCATGTGACTAGAGAAGTCAGAATGTAGTCATTACTGAAATGAGTGCATAGGACAGTAAAAAGAAAAGGAGTACTTGTGGCACCTTAGAGACTAACCAATTTATTTGAGCATGAGCTTTCGTGAGCTACAGCTCACTTTGTAGCTCACGAAAGCTCATGCTCAAATAAATTGGTTAGTCTCTAAGGTGCCACAAGTACTCCTTTTCTTTTTGCGAATACAGACTAACACGGCTGTTCCTCTGAAATAGGACAGTAAATAAACTCTTAGCAAGTAGGCAGACCATGAAAATGATCTCTTCATTTCTGTTGTCGCTGCCAAAGCCTCAATACATTGAAGTCACAGCCACAGAAAGTCCTGTGACATCAATGATGTATCTACCCAAATGGATATTGAAATCCTTGGAGTCCCCCTACTACTCCTTTTCTCCAAACCCAAAAGTAGCAGTTCCGAAAAGCTGATTTTCCCCAGTTATGTATCAAACAGAGGATATCTGGAGATACCTCTGCTCTTTTACTTTTCCAGTGCTGCAAACACTGAAGTGTATCTGACAGGTACCGATACACTAGTTTATATTTAGAAAGGTCTGTAAATCTCCAGACAGAAACAGTGTGACCTGAGTGGGTCCTGTAATTCAACAGAAAGTGCTATGATTGGAACCTGTGGGGAAGTATTAAAAAAACCACTCCTAACTGTCCAGTGAAAGAGAAAAATCTTTAGCAGACATACATCCAGTGAATGTTAGGTTCTCATACAGAAAAAATAATTAAGTTAGTTTTCAATCTTGCAGTGGTTTTAAAAGAGAGGAAATAGTAAAGGTTTTGTAAATCAGATAAAGTTTAACTATACAGTGCCTGGAAAATAGATTAGGTTTCAGAGTAACAGCCGTGTTAGTCTGTATTTGCAAAAAGAAAAGGAGTACTTGTGGCACCTTAGAGACTAACCAATTTATTTGAGCATCAGCTTTTGTGAGCTACAGATCACTTCATTGGATGCATTAGATTAGTTTATTGTCATACAAAGGCAATTTTTTTCAATGCAGCCTGAGTATAATATTAACTGTACTGGGAATTATGCAGCAACATGCAGATTTGGACTTTTATAAGTTCACACAGCAAGGAGAAATCAGAAGGGATCAGTGCAGTTCCTTTACTTTAGACTTGAAAGGTTCTTACCAGGGTTTCCATTCAGTCATCTTCTCCAGATTCCTTACCAATGAGATATGGCCGCAGGCAAGAAAAACCTGGCTACCTTCCTTTCACAAGCTTGTAGGCGTTTGATGTGGCTGCTAGGAATCAGTCAACATAAAGCATAACTCCAGCTCACTGCAAGAAATTTTATCACTTGTTTAACAAATACTGTTAGCTGTTTCAGGCAGCTTTAGCTCATTGTTTTCGCTTACTGATGCAGAGCAGAGGTGAGAAGCATTCTGCTGAAAAGTTCCTAGTAGCAGACCAGGCTTGCTGGGTTTCTAATCTCAAGCACTACCTTCCACTTATTTTTATGTGAATTTAACATTTTGAAATAATCTTACGTGATTTTAGAAGTTTTTAAGGAAGTTTTAATATATAAATGAGATGTAATATCTCTGATTACTTCACATTAGACTTTCATGTGATCATAGCAATTAGAGATGAGAGGATTTTAGAATTACTCCTCAGGGAATTCTGCACCAAAAAATTAAATATATATATTTTCAAATTCTGCAAAATTCTTCATATTTTATTTGTCAAAATAACATAATATAATCACACCAGTTTCAATTATTTGTGGTCATTTTATTTCAAAATACTTGTCAGCAAGTATGTAAGAATACAGACAACAAAAGTCAGTTTTTGTTGACAAATAGATTCCTTAATAGGCATATTAATAGTGAGTAATACTTCATTTAAACTACAATATGGAACCATATTTCCTGCTCCCCTCAGATGCAAAGGCTTGGGGGAGTCGGGGATAATGGAGGGAGCTGAGGGAGAGGGAAATAATTGCTGGGAAGCAGCCTGGTGTAAACTTGAAGGGTTGTTGGGTATGGGCAAGGGGGGGAGGAGTATGGGACAGGTTTTTTGGGGAGGCAGGGAGGGACTGTTAGGGAGCTTCCCCCATGCAGACCCTGGCTGACCCCTAGTCTCTCCCATTCAGGCATATCTGCCCCGCACCCCCACATATCCATACACCCCCATGTGTCTTAGCATCCCTTGTCCACATGTGTCCCTCCACTCCCACTCAGACACCCACTCCCCCCATCCCCATGTGTTTCTGTGCTCCCACTCAGCTACTCCCCTAGCCCTGTGTGTCCCTGCACCCCCTCCTCCATCCCCATGTGTCTCTATGCCCCCACTCAGTCCAACCCCCTTACCCCTGGAGCTCTGCACCCCCTCTGCCCATATGGCCCTGCCCCTCCTCCTCCACTCCCATTCAGCCCCTACCCCAGTCAGTCCTTCCCTACTAGCCCTTATGAGCCCCTGTCTGATCCCCCAGGAGCCCCACACTGTCTGGGAGGCACTGTGAAGAAGGCAGGCTCTTTCTCTTCTGTAGCTGGCTGGGAGTGGCTGCTGTGTTCTAGCTGCTGTGTTCTAGTCCCACAGTTCCCTCTGGTGGGCAAAAGATGAACTAAGAAGTTATTGTCTACTGGGGGCTGCTGCTCTCTTCTAGCACCACAGTGCCCTCTGGTGGGCAAAAGGCAGATCTGCAGCAACACTCCAGCAGAAGTTTTTTTCTGTGCAAAATAAAAGTATGCACAGCTCATTAATTATGTGGACGCGCAGTGGCGCAGAATTTCCTGAGGATTATATAATCTATTCTGTTGGTGCAGGATTATTCCTGACAATATCTGATCAAGGTCTCTGCTCAGTTTTAAAAGATTTTTGCCATGAGGCAGAAGGTATTTCTTCCCTTAAGAGAATATTCTACAGATCAACAGCATTGAATTAACCCACCACTTCTTGGGTATTTACTGCAATGACCCCATGGCGTTGCAGTAGCCAGGGAATAATGAAAGCATAGGAATACCATGGCCATGCCTCCCCCTTCACACCCTCTGCACTGGTGGTATTCCCCATGGAGGCCTTATAGCTACAGTGAAAGTCCATTGTGCTGGAGCAAAGGGGCTGCAGACCTTGGGCTTGATGATCTGCAAAGATATGTTTAAACACTTTTTGAAATGTTACTTAGGGAAGGAATGATTCCCTAATTAGTTCAATATAGAAAATAGCTCCTACAAAACTAGCTCTGGTAGGAACATTCTCCTGATTTATATACTGTATTCACAAACATAGGCCTTAATCTTAACCATGAACTTTATATAGGGTCGCATGCCAAAATATTTTGTTTTATGTAGGATCTCATACCACGCTTATTACCACAGTATCAACTATGTATGCAGCCAGAATATCTACAGCAAATTAGAAAATTAAGGCATCCAAAATAGTGATTCGATAATACATTATATCTTACATCTTCATTTGTTCTGATTACTTCTGTTGCAGAAGCACCTGTATTGTCTTCCTGTGAGTGGCAGGGATTCATAGAACATGATTATTGTTATGTACTTTGCAATCGGTACAGCTTTAAACAGAATAATCAGTTTCACTTAAAGAAATGGAATGGCAGCAGCCACCTTAAATTTCTCTATAGAAAATCAGATTTATAAGAGTTTGTTACGGCCTTGAAGCTGGTGTATTATTTCAGTTACCCTATGAGAGTCTATTCAGTTTCCAAATCTCACTGCTTTTGTATTTTTATTATTGTATTACAAAAATGCCTCCGCTAGATGAAGCCCCATTGTGCTAGGCACAGATACTAACCGGTGGTTCCCTCCAAAACGAGGTGTTGCTGAGGTACAAGGGAAAGAGATTTGCCTAAGTCATGCCGGAAGTCTCTGCCAGAGCTGAGAACTGAACCAAGATCTGAGTCCCAGTCGTGTGCCTTCATGAAAAAACTGTCTTTTCTTTCTTTGGCACATCAGTCTACAGCTGCTGTTCCAGCTTCTGCGGTTGTTTGCTGCAGTTGCCCTGACCTTCCTTATTTTGTGCTTTCTGTCAGTGTCTCTACCAAGTCTCCACACCTCCTCTTCTTTCCTTTTATGCCATTGACCAAACTGGTCGTTTAAAATATGGGATGCAGCAGTAGGAAAAGGAGGATTTCTTTGCATGTGGGTTGCATGTTTTGGCTCTTTAGAGGACATATTTGGCTGGGTCTTCAATGGCTCTGTAGAGTCTCTTGTGAGCAAGATGAGCACTGCCCTTTGGTTTTCAGTTTTAGTGAGAAACTATCTGAGGTCTGTAGTCCTTTTAGTTTTCTACCTTTAAAGGGAGGATTCATTAAGTTTAGAGGTGCCAGCAAAAAGCCAGCCTTTGCTCAATGTCCTCAAATGGGACTTACAAATTCACACTGCAAATACTGTTGTGCATTCCAGGTTAGGCAATTAATGTATAGTCTGTATGCTTCATTAGCTATGATTCTGTTCTTGTCTGCCAGGAAGTGGGGCTCTTGAAAGCATGCTATCAGTAACATCCCCTCTTGATGAATAATTAGCACAAATAAGTTCATTGCAAGGGCATGTGATGAAATGCTCCCATGCATAAACCAGGAAAAGGGACTTATAGTTATTAAAAAAACATTGACTGACCATCTTTTTAGAGCTTCCCTTGACGTGTACCAAAACAGAGGTTGATTAAAATCAGAACAGTACCAACAAGAGCTCATAACCAACCCAGTGGAACAATCGTGTCTTTGTGGTTATTTTGTTACACATACTTTAACTGCTAACACTGTCCATTCATTCGGCTTGCTTTTATGCAGTTGCCAGTTAAACAACTTTAGAGGCTCCAAGCTTTAATTTGCTGCAGATAGGCAGTAGTCCCACAGTCCATGTTCAAATTGATGGAGAATGCAGAATTTCTAGAGCAGCTGGTTGGGTGGAAATGACAGTAAAAGGGTAAAAAGACTTAACCGGTGTTGGGAATGTTTAATTTTTTAAAAAGGGGAAGTGGGTTGTATTTTTTTCTACTCATCTGCACCTCAGTTCAAACAGGAGCTGTATAAAAGAGGAGTATAACCATATACCATACTTTTTTTACTGGGTATTGGTGCAGTCCTTTTGCATTCTGTTTCCTCAACAAACAAATATCATATAGCCTTTTGATAACTAATTGTTCAGGGATCTTTCCTGGCATCCTTACTCCCATTGGCTCAGATTGTGAAACCCTTGCTCACACTGAAAATGTACTGTACACCATGTAATTTTCAATAAAAGGGATGATATTCTGGCCCCATTGATTTCAATGGAACTATTTGCAAAATAAAGTACTACTCCATAAATGAGTAAGATATTAACAATCTGAGTTAAGGTATTAACAACCACTAAGTAGTAATTTAGGGCATGATTAATCCCACTGGCTTCACTGGGACTATTTGGATATTAAGTTACTACTCAAAGATGAATTTCATCCCTGTTCAAGGGTGCAATACAAAGCCCACACACTACTTAAATTATGCATACGCTCTCAGAATAGGATGAATTTTAGCCCGTGTGTTAACTCCTATGGAACATCAATACTTGCTTAAGATTTTCACAAAAGGAAATCTTTTTTTAGCGACTCTTATGTCTTCAGTTGGGATTTCCAAGTTCATGGGATTGGAGACCCTCCAGCAGAATCGGAGAAAACTACATTTGCTATTCCTGGAGTGAATCTGGCCCTGCTGCAGTGAAAGGAAATTTTGCCATTGACTTCAATGGAGCTAGATTTTAACCCTATTTATTAATGAAGGAAAAAAGGGAAGACCCTGCTCCCTCACACTTCTGTGTCCTTAAATTATAAGGAAACAAAATGGCCCAAGCCTAACTTTGTGTTATTATAATTGATTTTATATTTCTAGTACAGTAGAGCCTAGTGGCCACTAGCTCAGGACCCAATTGTTCTAGGCTCTGTGCAAACATAGAAAATGACAGTTCTGGCCACACACAGTTACCATCTAAAAATCCTTTGCAAATCACATGCAATGGGTGGAAATGCACCCGTAAAATAAGCAGTGATCTGCACAAGTCTCTTGGCTTTACAAAGGAAAAGGAGTGAGACATTGCTGTTGGCATTTGGACTAAAGTGAGGAAAATGACCAGCACACGCTTTCTGTTTCATGAAAAGTCTATAGATGTGTCTAAATAAAATTCCTTTTGCTGGCTTACCTTTAAAAGGTGTAACCTTCCTCAGGAAAGTGGGGTCTGGTGAAACAGGAGTCCAGATCCGTTCCTTACAACAGAGGCAAAACTATGAGCTGACTTACATCTGGTGAAAGTTCACTGCTGTTAATGGAGTTGCACAGGATGAAAGGCCCTGATCCAAAGCACGTTGAAGTTCATGGGATGGGAGTCTTTCCTTGCATTGTTAGGACTGACTTTGGCTCCAAAGTTACACTATTTAGTAGATGAAGGAACCTGCCCTTTTCATGACAGTAGTGAAGTTGTATACTCTTCTGTTAAAATGTGTGAAATTAATTGTGTTAAACTGTGTGTGTTGAACAATTTTATTCTGGAAAATTAATCCATCTTTACTCTGATTAGTTTGGATAAAGGCAAAAGGAGAGCGGTAAATTACAAAGGTTAATTTAAAGGCAAACTGCGGTCCTGAATTACACCTAGAGGACATGCAATAAATCAGGCAAAAGTGGACCCTGGGTCTATAAGTACTACATAGAAGAGAGGGAGAAAACTTTGGAACAACAAAGTGAGGGAGCAGACTTTTCAAGGTATTGTAATCTCCTGTGGATCCTCTTTCCAGAGAACTTCTGAGTTACCCTGCTCATTCATGTTTCTTCCAGGTTAAAATGTTTTTTCGCTCCCTTTATTATGCAAAGGGACCGAGGTTGTGTATTTAATATTTATATTCTGCATTCTATATTTCATTTATATGCTGAAGTGGCTAGAGGCCAACTGGGTGGATTAGCTTGCTATAGTTTGCAAAACCTCCATTATGATCCCAGCAGTCTGCTGTTCAATCTATTTGTTGAAACTAAATTATCCAGTTAATTTTGCTCTTTTGCCCATTTGCAGAATGATCCTGATTCATATGAATGAATTTGTTTCTAAGTATTCATAGACTAGTTTATGCTAGCAAATGCTAACAAATTTCAGACTTGCATATTGGTTACCTTGTTTACTGTATTTTCTGTCTGTGGTCACCCAACTCATGCTATTGGTTTGGCTTCCAGATCACAGGTCTTAAACGTATAAACAGGCAAATAATAAAGGACAATTTTGTTAAAATAATTGGAGTTATTTGTACTTTTACTGTCAAAGTCCACTGAGTAGCATTTGTTTCACTCTCGAAGACATGAATGTATAATTTTATGCTTTGCTAATGTGTGTGTTTTGCTTATTTAGCAGAATGAAGGAAACCATTGTGCTCTTGGCCACAGACTGGTAAGATTTTGTAGGAACTCCTTTTCCATTTTGTCTTTTAATGATATGATTGTTTAATATTAGCATCATATTAATATGATACCTGACTCTTATATAGAACTTTGTAATCAGTAAATCTAAAAGCCTCTTGTCAAGGCTGTCAGGATCATTATTCCTATTTTCCAGAAGGAGAAACTGGGACACAGAGTTTGAAGGCCAAATTTTTAAAGGTATTTAGCCACCTAAGCATGTAGGTAGGTGCCTAGTAGGATTTTCAAAAGTGCCTTTCTTTTAGGTCTTTAAATACCTTAAAGAAGATCTGGCCCTGAATGTCTTGTCCAAGGTCACCCAGCAATCCCATGGAAGAGCAAGGAATAGAATCCAGGTCTCCTGATTCCCGGTCCAGTACTCTATCCAATAGGCCACACTACCTTCCCATTGACTTCAGGTGAAATTTTCAGAAGTACCCAAGTGACTAAAGCCTAAGTCACATTTTTCAAAAGGGATTTAGGGCCAGATTTTCAAAGGGATTTAGGCCCCTAAAGATGCACACAGGTGCCTAGTGAGATTTTCAATAGTGCCAAAGCAGATTAGCACATAGAAATGAATTGGATTTAGGAGCCTAAATTTCTTGGGCACATTTGAAAATCCCACTCTCCCAAATTAAAAGGTATTTAGATGCCTAAAGATGCAAATGCTTATCTGAATCTTTAGCATCTAAATACCTTTGAAAATCTGGCTGCTAGGAGCCTAAATCCTACTGAGTTCCAGTGACTAAATTACTCTTGAAAATGAGACTTAGGCTTCCAAGCCACTTAGGTGCTTCTAAAATTTTTATCTGGTGTCTTCAGATATTAACTCTTATGAGCCTCCATCCCTAGCTCCATTCCTTTGTTTGTGCTATATTGGGCTTCTATAAATTATCAAGTTTAGTAGCAACTCAATACTTATCACTGTGTTACTCCAGTTAGTCCGTTCACACAGTGGAGTTACCCTGACATAACAGTGGAGTAATGCAGTAGTGAATTAGGCCTAGTGAGCCTGATTCTCAATTACGCTAATGTCCTCTTACAGCACTCTGGCATCACAAAGGGGCCTTGTTGTGCATGGAGACTGCTCCTTGTATGAAGTGGCATCTTAGCCTGTGCAGAGCTGGTGTAAGGGCTTTATATTGGTCCTTCTCTCCCCCCCCCCACCCCCGACATAAGTGGTACGTTGGGGTGTGTCGGGGGCATGGTCAGAGGATACTGCACTATGGCAATCCTCTGCTTCCTAGGGCCAAGAGGCAGGCATGTAAAGCAGAGCATGAGTTGTTAGACCATCACTGTGTCTGCTCTAAATTATGCTGAGAACCTGACAGGTCCCTGCACAGACTCAGAATATAGGAAACATAAAGGTGTCTTAAAGACATCCCCCATCCCTGCCTCATGCAGAGAAATGAAGGGAAGAAGGTGGATGTGTATGTTATGATTTAAGAGACTAGTGTTTCAAGTTTTTGAATGTTCAACTTCAACCCTCTCAAATTCAGGCCCCTTTAATGTGTCTCAAAAATGGAGGCACCCAAAACCACTTGTCACTAGAAAATCTTCAACTGTGTAACTGAGAGTCAGGCTCATTGAATCTATCAGAACCAGTTGTGGAATCCTGTTACATTCTACACTTTTGGAGTGAAGGCCTCAGAATGACTATCCTTCAAAAATAAAACAAATGCTAAAATAACACCTTGTCTGTGCCCAGTGGTTGAGCTTTTCCTATGTTTCTTTCATGTCCAGAAAGCACCTTTATAGGGAGTGATGATGATTCCATGAGCTTCTACTAGTGGGCACATATTTACATCACATACTATTGCTTCCAATCCCTTATTCTGGATCACTGATTGACAGCACTGACAAAAACAAATCACAGGTGGGTTGACAGGTATCTTATTTGTCTTGGTTTTGCTTTAACATAGATCCCTCCCCGTCCCCGATCCTCCTTACTTTTCCTGGTTCAGCACCTTTTCTACATAATGACCAGAATCAGAATCTGTATTCTACTTACATGTAGACATGGGTCACTGTGCTACTATTATCACATCTGGGGTTGTAGTTGCATGTTTCATTCGTTCTTATATAGATGGTTTTTAGTTTTTTCTTACTTATAATACTGCAGGGCATACAAGAGGCATTCAAAATGTCTTCCAGATCTCTTGCTATTTTAATTATTTCTCTCTGGGTATGTGCATATACAATTCCCAGTAGATTCCAATGTGTGCTTACAAGAGACTCATGGCTTTTAGGGGTGATACAGGTCAAGATGAGGATCCATTAGCATAAATACCAGTGGAAGCTTGAGCAAATTTGCTTTTACAGTATACCAGCCTGTCAAGGTTCCTCCCCCACTCTGAACTCTAGGGTACAGATGTGGGGACCTGCATGAAAACCTCCTAAGCTTACTTTTACCAGCTTAGGTTAAAACTTCCCCAAGGTACAAATTAATTTTATCCTTTGTCCTTGGAATATCCACTGCCACCACCAAAGTCTAACTGGATTTACTGGGAAACATAGTTTGGACACTCCTTCCCCCCCCCCAAAATCCTCCCAACCCTTGCACCCCACTTCCTGGGAAAGGTTTGGCAAAAATCCTCACCAATTTGCATAGGTGACCACAGACCCAAACCCTTGGATCTGAGAACAATGAAAAAGCATTTAGTTTTCTTACAAGAAGACTTTTAATAGAAATAGAAGTAAAGGAATCACACCTGTAAAATCAGGATGGTAGGTACCTTACAGGGTAATTAGATTCAAAACCTAGAGAATCCCTCTAGGCAAAACCTTAAGTTACAAAAAAGACACACAGACAGAAATAGTCATTCTATTCAGCACAATTCTTTTCTCAGCCATTTAACGAAATCATAATCTAACACATACCTAGCTAGATTACTTACTAAAAGTTCTAAGACTCCATTCCTGGTCTATCCCCAGCAAAAGCAGCATACCAACAGGCACAGACCCTTTGTTTTTCTCCCTCCTCCCAGCTTTTGAAAGTATCTTGTCTCCTCATTGGTCATTTTGGTCAGGTGCTAGCGAGGTTACCTTTAGCTTCTTAACCCTTTACAGGTGAGAGGATTTTTCCTCTGGCCAGGAGGGATTTTAAAGGGGTTTACCCTTCCCTGTATATTTATGACACAGCCACTAGCTCCAACCCAAGGAAAGGGAGTACTGGCTGGGTATTCCATGAGGGATCCTTGACCTAGATTTTTGCCCACCCCTCATTAGATGAGCAGTGCCCAGATCTGCTAACTGACAGTACGCACTGCAAGGCCCATCTTTTTGCCCAGCTACTTGGGGAGGCCTAGTCTAAGAAGTGGAGGGGGTTTTGTCTGTTATATAGAAATGTCAATGATTTGCTAAGGTCTTTCTTTGTTAGGATGGGAAGTGCAGTCCCATATACAATATTTTATTATGAAATTAAACTGTATAAAGGTACCCAAGGCAAGGAATGAGTTGCCTAAATGTGCTTTTATAAACTGAAATAAACATTTCTTCTGCGCACACTCAATCACTAAAAACTTGTCTCAAAATTAAATATTGAAAAAAGAATGTAAAAATTAAAAATAATGAATAATTAGCAATTATATAGTATTTTTCATCCAGAGATGACAAAGTACCCAAGGAGGGAAGGATTATTGTCCCAACTTTTCAGATGGGGAAACAGAGGCACATAATTTTTAAGTGACTTGTTCAAGGTGACAGAACAGATCAGTGCCATGGCAGGAATAGAACCCAAGTCTCCTGACTCCCAGGGTTTAACCATAATTTTAAAATATGCAGAACTACTTTATTATTAGGACTTCTTGCAATGGAAAAGCGCTCTGCCATGGATGAAAATGAAGTTTTGCATTTTTCTGATGCATGGAGGCAATTTGTGAATACTGCCTGAAAGGGAAAAGAAGTGGAAAGGAGTTGAATTACATCTGTATGACTTTTGGCTACTTCTAGGAAGATTCTTAAGTTGCAAGCTATTTTCTGACAGGGACTGGGTCTTTCTGTGTGTTACTGTGCCTAGCACATTTTGCCCCACTGTCGTAGTATACATCATCACAGTAATGGAGATGAGTCCAAATCAAAGCCATGGATCCCAACTATGTGAAGAGAAGGGTTTGACATCTGGATCAGAATTATGCAGCTTGAGCTGCTCTCTATTTATAAGATCTGCCATTAATTGAATGTGCCAATCTAGTGGCAGTGAGATGGTAGAGTGGGGAAGGTCAGAGAAAGGAGTGGGGCAGGATCGATCTTTTCCTTCCTACTCTACCACTGATCTGACATGAAGGGATGGTGGGAGTTTGCATACTTTGGGATTTACAAGTGAGCAGAGCATTTGGTGCTCTTGTTGGTAGAAGCCCCGTATTGCTTCTAAATCTTAAAGGTCTGAGGTCCTGGGGTACAACAGAAGGGTTACTCTGTCCTGCTGGAATTGTGTGGGGTGAAAGAAAAGGCTGCCTAACTGCCTCCTAAGGATCACACTCCTTCCTGAAGAGGAGACGTTGGTGCCCTGCCCCACCCCAGCAGCAGCTGCTATCAGACTAGAAGGGAGTGGGCTGCTTAGTTAACACTCTTCCTTCAAGAGGACACATCAGTGATGGTTTGGAGAACAACATTATGGATCCAAATAGATAGTGTGGTCAGTGGAGAGTAGATTGTCTTTGAAAAGAAGGAGCCAGGGCCTATTGATGGAGTGGGGAAGGAAGAGGGCAAAAAGTTCAGATAAGCATCAAAGTTTAGGCTGTTTAGCCAAACCTCTGAACCTTTTGAGAGTTCATTCAGAGTTCACCCATTAGCATGTATTCTCCTACATTTCTTCCTAAACTCATTTCCTTACATGGAAGTTTTGTTCATAATCTGACTCTGCTTAACCCTGTCGGCACCACTTATTTCCCTAATGGGGAGAAGATCCACTAATGGGAGGAGGAAGAGGGTGTTGGGATGACTGGGATTTTCAAAGGAGCCAAACTCCCACTGAAATTCAACCCTGTTCAATTTCCTTGAGAATCACAGCTGATGAAGCTACATTGTCAATTCCTTACTCTCTCTAATCTCATATTAATTTGAACATTTTTAAGTACTACTGCTGAATTGATTGGTTAACCTAAGTAGGCTAGTCTTGTCAGAGGGCACTGCAGAGTCAGTAATTATAGAAGGGAGAACACATATGTTAGTAAGTTAATAACCATCTAATGTATATGGGTTTCCATATTCTATGATTTGTTGTAGTCACATATGACTGACATTTTACCTTATTCCTTTCAAGAAACATACACTTTCAATATATTTTGTTGGTGAATGGCATTGGCATAGTCTCACTGTTTTTGTTGGACAAGTCTCCATATTTTACAGGAACTACCATCATCCCATTTGGCCCTAATTTATACTTGTATGGGTACTCTCAGCATAAAGGCTGAGGATGAAATAGGCATAGAGACTGACCTATCCTATTACCCGTAGAACTGATCCCAATAGCCTGGGGATGTGATGCAGTTTTGCAAAACTTACCCTGCTACTCCCTCTACTGTTTCTGTCCTGTGGACATTAATCCTTCAAGATGCTGAGCACTCTGGCCCTGATCCAGCAAAGCACATAAGAACATACTTGACATTATTTTGAGTGGTCACATTCCCTTTACTGGATTAGGGCCAGAGTGCTCAACACCTTGCAAGGTCAAGCCCAAATGTAGGGCTTCAATGCCTAGGGATGCCATTCTATACCCTTTCATGATCGGTAACCTTCAGAAACTCCAATAATTGAACACCTTTTTATTTATTTATTTATATATTCTAATATTTTCTTTGTAAAAGGCTAATGACACAAGTCCTGAGCTGTCCCATTTGGACAATTTTTATTGCAATGGTGGTAAAAGCTCTCAGAATTTTACAGCTCAGAGCATGCCATTCTCACATTCCCATTTCAGTGTAAAAATCTGCTGCAGATGGATTCTCAGGAGCAACATGGATTTTAGACAGTTAAAACATGGGACTCAAAGCTGGAATAAAACTTGAAAAAAACCAAGCCCTTTAACACAAAACAGATTTGTTTTTAAAAGTGCATCAGATTCTCATAAAACTGTATAGAAGTTTTCTGGAACCATATAATAGAAGTTATTTTTCTTTATTTGTTAAGAGACAAATATTTATATTTAGTTGCTCTGGCATTTCTGCAAAGCAGTTCTGGGCCATCTCATTAAAAAGGATTGGAGTCAATTATCTGCTTTATTGAGTATTTGTTTTCATTTGTGTGATCTTTGTACTGCTCACAGGATAATTTTTGTGTGGTGGGGAAACTCATTAGAGCTCTGACTATACTGTGCCTGCTATGTTCCTACAGTTTTGAAAGTCTGAAAAATTCTCTATACGTGACCTGAATTTGATTGGAACTGTAATCTGGTGCAGCTACCTTGGTTTCATTAAAATGTGAGAAAGCATGTGCTTGTATTCATTACAATTTATAATTACCTCAGTTTTTGCTGCTTGATGCAAATTAAAGCTGGCCTTTATTCAAACATGGAAGGTACAGCATCAAATCAACAACTTTATTTTATCGTATGAAACAGATGGTGAAGATCACTGAGATTTCCAAAAGAAGACAATGCAATTTCAGTGCTAAATTACCCTTGTTGAAGGGCTTTTCCTCAAGGGTGAAGGGGAATACACTAGTATTTTGTAACTTCTTGTTTGCTTAGCTGGCCAGAGGCCAATAAAGACTGAATCTTTGAAATTTTTTTTTGAAAATTTTTATTTATTTATTTTTCTTTAAAGAAGGGGAAATCTTGGTCCTATTGAAGTCAATAGGAAAACACCATTGACTTTAATGGAATGTGTAATTGAACTCTTACATATGAAATTTAAGAAGGAAGCAGATCAGCTAGTGCTTCAAGTGAGCTGTAGCTCACAAAAGCTGATGCTCAAATAAATTGGTTAGTCTCTAAGGTGCCACAAGTACTCCTTTTTCTTTTTGCTAATACAGACTAACACGGCTGTTACTCTGAAAAAGGTCCAGAATTTCACCTCTGGTCATACTGAAGTCAATAGAAAAACTCTCTTCTGAATCAGAATGAATCTAAATGGCAAAACATCAGAATCCTCTGCATCATGGAACTATCTTTCTCTGCATAGCTCTAGTTTCAGAGTTTACAGTCCATTGAGATGAATAGGCAGTTTACACCTTTATGAGCAATTGCTTCTGGATGATGACACTCGCATTGGTATGCACTTGATTCACATTTTCAAAGTTACCTTCACAACCATAAGAGCTAGAAACTTCTGAAAATGAAACCTTTAATTTCTGTTTTTATAGCTTATAATTTTGGTGCACTTACTAAAGACCAGTTTAAACAGAACTTCCCATTTTACTCAGGAGAAAAATATATATTTTTTGCAAGATGGGGAGAGATCATGATCTTAATTCCCAAAATTTCAACTAACACTTTAAAAAGTTATTGGGGGATCTTCTCTTCTACATTTGAAAATGTAGCACCAATAAGTTAATGAATTTAAATTCTACAACATTTCATTTTTCCAGTGTAAAGAAGTTAGTCAAGATTTTCCAAACTCTGCACCTAAAATTAAGCTCCTGACTCTAGCTGTAGATACCTAAATCCATAGCCTGATTTTCAACTATTCTGGGAATTCTCTCTTTTTTTTTTTTTTTTTTTTGGCTAATAGGGACAAATATTTATATTTAATTGCTTTGGCATTTCTGCACTGAAGTCCCTGTGGACAGCTAGAGGCTCAGCAATTTTGAAAATCCAACCCCTGATTTAGATAGGTTATGGACTACAGTTAGTAGTTCTGCAATTTCACATTTGAGTTCCTTCATACTCTTGGATGAATACCATCTGGTCCTAGTGACCTATTACTGTTTAGTTTATCAATTTGTTCCAAAAACCTCCCCTAATGACACCTCAAACTGGGACAGTTCCTCAGATTTGTCACCTAAAAAGAAAGGCTCAGGTTTGGGAATCTCCCTCACATCCTCAGCTGTGAAGACCAATGAAAAGAATTCATTTAGTTTCTCTGCAATGGCCTTATCGTCCTTGAGTGCTCCTTTAGCATCCTGATCATCCAGTGGCCCCACTGGTTGTTTAGCAGGCTTCCTGCTTCTGGTGTACTTAAACATTTTTTTGCTATTACTTTTTGAGTCTTTGGCTAGCTGTTCTTGAAATTCTTTTGGTCTTCCTAATTATATTTTTACACTTCATTTGCCAGAGTTCACGCTCCTTTCTATTTTCCTCACTAGGATTTAACTTCCACTTTTTAAAGGATGCCTTTTGCCCCTCACTGCTTCTTTTACTCTGTTTAGCCACAGTAGCCCTTTTTTGGTTCTCTTACTGTGTTTTTTATTTTGGGGTATACATTTAAGTTGAGCCTGTATTATGGTGTCTTTAAAAAGTTTCCATGCAGCTTGCAGGGATTTCAATTTTGGCACTGTACCTTTTAATTTCTGTTTAACTTCCTCATTTTTGTGTAGTTCCCTTTTCTGAAATTAAATGCTACAGTGTTGGGCTGCTGTGGTGTTTTCCCCACCACAGGGATGTTAAATTTAATTATATTATGGTCACTATTACCAAGCAGTCCAGCTATATTGACCTGTTGGACCTGATCCTGTGCTCCACTTAGGACTAAATCAAGAATTACCACTCCTCTTGTGGGTTCCAGAACTAGCTGCTCCAAGAAGCAGTCATTTAAGAAGTCAAGAAACTTTATCTCTGCATCCCATCCTGAGGTGACATGCACCCAGTCAATATGGGGATAGTTGAAATCCCCCATTATTAGTGAGGTTTATTTTTTAAAATAGCCTCTCTAATCTCCCTGAGCATTTCACAGTCACTATCACCATCCTGGTCAGGTGGTTGGTAATATATCCCTACTGCTATTATATTCTTATTAGAGCATGGAATTACTATCCATAGAGATTCTATGGTACAGTTTAGTTCATTTAAGATTTTTACTTCATTTGATTCTATTGTTTCTATAAGGCCATTCCCCCACCAGCACAACCTGTTCTTTCCTGCCGATATATTTTGTACCCTGGTATTACTGTGTCTCATTGATCATCCTCATTCCACCAAGTTTCTGCCTATATATCAATATCCTCATTTAATAAGAGGCACTCTAGTTCACCCATATTATTATTTAGACTTCTAGCATTTGTATATAAGCACTTTAAAAACTTGTCACTTTTTAGCTGTCTGTCATTACATGATGCAATTGAATGGGACTCTTTTTCATTTGACTGTTTCTCATCAGATCCTACCTGTGTTTTATCATCTTCCACTCTCTCTTCCTTAGTAGGACATACAGAATCTCCATTAATAGATCTTCCTAACCAAACCATCTGCTCCCCTGCAGCTGTCAGCTTTCTCCCAGCCCTTAGTTTAAAAACTACTCTATGACCTTTTTAATTTTAAGTGTCATCCATCTGGTTCCATTTTGGTTTAGCTAAAGCCCATCTTTCCTGTATAGGTTCCCCCTTTTCCGAAAGTTTCCCCAGTTCCTAATAAATCTAAACCCCTCCTACCTACACCATCGTCTCATCCATTCATTGAGACCCTGCAGTTCTGCCTAAGTGGCCCTGCACGTGGAACTGGAAGCATTTCAAAGAATGCTACCATGGAGGTCCTAGACTTAAATTTCTTACCTAGCAGCCTAAATTTGGCCTCCAGGATGTCTCTCCTATCTTTACCTATTCATTGGAACCTACGTGTACCACGACCACCAGCTCCTCCCCAGCACTACACATAAGTCTATATAGATGTCTTGAGAGATCTGCAATCTTCGCACCAGGCAGGCAAGTCACCATGCAGTTCTCCCATCATCGCAAACCCAGCTATCTATGTTTCTAATGATCAAATTGCCCATTACTAATACTGGTCTATTCCTAATAACTGGAGTCCTCCCTCCCCCCCACCCCGGAGCAGTATCCTCAGTGCGAGTGAAACACTGGAATGCGTTACCTAGGGAGGTGGTAGAATCTCCTTCCTTAGAGGTTTTTAAGGTCAGGCTTGACAAAGCCCTGGCTGGGATGATTTAACTGGGCATTGGTCCTGCTTCGAGCAGGGGGTTGGACTAGATGACCTTCTGGGGTCCCTTCCAACCCTGATATTCTATGATTCTATACCACAGTATCATCTGAAAGAAGAGTCCCAACTATGGGATCATTCTCTCTGCTCCAGTCTCCTTCCCTGAGACTTTCATCCTCCTCAACAGCACAGAGGCTGTCAGACTGGGGGTGGGACTGTACTATATTGTGTCCCAGAAAGTCTCATCTATGTACCTCTCTGTCTCCCTTAGCTCCTCCAGTTCAGCTACTCGGGTCTCTAAAGCCAAGAGTGGTCTCTGAGGGCCAGGAGCTCCTTGCACCAAATGCACACATATGCTACCTGCCCATAGGGCAGGTAATCATATATGCTGCATTGGGTCAATAAACTGGATAGCCCCCACTCTGTTGCTGGACTTCTGCCTGCATTATCTCTATACTCCAGAAGCTTGTTCCTTTGTTGTTTTGTTTTTATCAGGGGATGTTTTTGGCTTTACATTTACAGAAGAGTAAATGTATCTAGCCCCCCCCCCCCACACACTCACTCTAAACTCCCTCGCAAAACTCCCCTTTTAGCCACTCCTGTTTGCTAGCTGTAACCTATCATTTAAATCATCTTCTGTACCAAATGAATGGAGGACAGCTAATGTGACACCAATTTTTAAAAAGGACTTCAGAGGTGATCCCAGAAATTACAGGCTGGTAAGCCTCACTTCAGTACTAGGAAAACTGGTTGCAAGTATAGTAAAGAACAAAATTGTCAGACACATAGATGAACGTAATTTGCAGATGATACAAAACTACTCAAGATAGTTAAGTCCCAAGCAGACTGTGAAGAGCTACAAAAAGATCTCTCAAAACTGGGTGACTGTGCAACAAAATGGTAGATGAAATTCAGTGTTGATTAATGCAAAGTAATGTACATTGGAAAACATAATGCCAACGATACATATAAAATGAGTGGTAACAGCTAATTTAGACCCCATCAAGAAAGAGATCTTAGAGTCATTGTGGATAGTTCTCTGAAAACATCCACTTAATGTGCAGCGGCAGTCAAAAAAGCAAACAATGTTGTGACTCATTAAGAATGGGATACATAATAAAACAGAAAATATCATATTGCCTCTATATAACTCCATGGTGCACTCACATCTTGAATACTGCATTCAGATGTGGTCACCCCATCTCAAAAAAGATATATTGGAATTGGAAAAGGTTCAGAAAAGGGCAACAAAAATGATTAGGGGTATGGAACGGCTTCCGTATGAGGAGAGATTAATAAGACTGGGACTTTTCAGCTTGAAAAAGAGATGACTAAGTGGGGATAAGATTGAGGTCTATAAAATCATGACTGGTGTGGAGAAAGTAAATAAGGAAGTGTTATTTACTCCTTCACATAACACAAGAGCTATGGGTCACCAAATGAAATTAATAGGCAGCAATTTAAAACAAACAAAAGGAAGGTTTTCTTTAACACAATGCACAGTCAGTCTGTGGAACTCTTAG